ATAAAGAAGGAAAATACAATGGGGTTTCAAGCACAATCTAATCATGAAAGAATGAAAAGACCTTTTATAAGAAAAAAATGTTATCAACTTTAAAAGCTTTGAGTGAAATTTAAAAAAAAGTTGCTCTTTAAATTAGGAGTTCATAATTATCTTTATGGTGAAAGGAAAAAGTGGTATTTATCCGAAGGGGAAAAGACAGATATTACTTTAGAAAAGAAAAAGAGCAAGTTTCAAAATAAATAGGGGAATTGTCTGAGATGAAAATGAGGCACTGCTCGCACCTGATAAGAGGCACTCACAAGATATGAAAAAGGGGCACTTACGGGAAAGAAAAAGGGGCACTTATTACAAAGAAAAGGGGCAATTATCAGAAGGAAAATGTCACTTATTAGAATAAGAGGGCACGTGTCAAATATATTGAGCAATTATCAGATATAAAAAGGGGCCCTCATTACAAAGTTAAATAGGGCACCTCTCAGATTTGAATAAGGGCATTTACCGGAGATGAGAAGAGGCACTTATAAAAATGAAATGGGGGCATACAAAGGAAAAGAGGCACTTGTCAAAATATAAGGGGAACCTCTCAAATTTTGAGGAAAAATAGGCAAATATAAAAGGTGAAGGGGCACTTATCAGAGGTGGTAAGGGGCACTTCTTGTATCTGAAAAGAGGCACTTACCTAACTAGTAGAATAGGGGCACTTGTGAAAACGGAAAGGAGCACTTATAACAAAGAAAATAGGCTTTTGTCGAAGGAAATGGGCAAATATCATATTTAATAGAGGCATTTATCAGTGATGCGCGTGGAAGGGGCTCTTTAAAAAAAAAGGATGGGGGAATGTGTAAAGATAAAAGGATGCACAGGTAATACGGGGCACTCATCAGAGATGAAAAGGGGAACTTTTTTACAAAGGAAAAGGGCACTTGTTAAAGTAAAAGGGCACCTCAGATTTGAATATGAGCAATTATCATTGGTGAAGGGGCAGTTCCCAGATGTGGTATAAGGGGTACTTCTAACAATGTGCAACGGGCACCTAATAGAAATAAAAATGGAATGTTCTATTCAACTTGATCCTGCCAGCCACCTCTGTCAGACCTTTTAAGCAAATGGGGAGGGTGTGATGAATGAAATTAGAATGAAAAATTATTGTTAGAAAAAAATTTATGTTAATTGCAATCATGTATATAATTATTATCCATGTGTTCCGTGTCAAAATTTACCGCTATGGGTCATGACATATTCGACGGGGTAGGGTAGGAGTCCAATCGGAAGAGAGAAGGGGGGCTCTAAACGATTTTTTTTTTCCACATTTGATTTCAAAATTATCAAGTGTATAAATGCAATAAAAACTTATGCTGTGTAAATGTCTTTATTGTTCATAAATATCAATTTGTTAGAACGTTATGTTTTGTTAAAATATGTATCGCTTTTTCATGTAAAACAAAAACAAAACCTAAACTGAAGCTGAACGATTAAAGTTTGTGTCAGGTATTTGAAATAGGTCACGGATTAGGTGTTAAATGGGTAGGCCTACCGGTAGGAAGGAATTCCTTGAAATGCTGTGAGCGTCGAAATCGGCAGCCTAGCATAGCCGGGTAATGTTGGAGCGCCTTGAGGACCTTGCAAGGTCGATACGTGCGCTATATAAGAATCCAATATTATTATTATTATTATTAGCTTGTGATTAATAGACATTTTCTCTATCAAAATCATACATCATTATAGAATACTGGGCAGCGGCCTAGGTTTTTATTTTATTTTACACCAATTGATAGATTATTTTGTTGCATGTAGAGTTTGGAGTGTAAGGACACACTTTTAGAACACAATTTAAATCTTTAATCAGCTAAAATGTGGAATATATGGACCCCTATGGAAATCAGAAGAATATAAGTATCTGTCCAGTAATTAGGTGCTGGAACAGCTGTCTTTTTGACAGGGTTCCAACGTAAGCTTCTCTTGGATACCCCTCCATCGAGAATTCGAGATTACTTCTTAAGTAATCCCCTGGAAAAATATGGCATTGAAAAAAAAGAGAGAGATACAGAAAAATAAAGCGGCCGTTGAATTGTCTAAGTTTTAACGTAGATGGCAGCAATGAACAACTGAGCCTGGTACATGGTGGTGCCTCACTTTTATCTTGATTTCATTGCGGCAAAATGTGAAAACAAAAACATGACCTTATGCATACTGGGTAACTGACCTTTGTAAAAACGGGTTTTCTTAAACTTGGACGGCTAGATATGAGGCATAGATCTTATAGTAATAATGATTCTATCCTCAACGAACAAATGGAATGGCAACAATATTATATTAAATTAATTTATGTTTGTTATCCTCGTGAGGTCTTTTTCAGCGATTGGTGAATTCTATCATATCCAATATATTAGGATATACAATAAGGATGTACATTTAGTGCAACTTTGCTTTTTACTAAATAGAAAGATTAGGTAAGGGGTGTGCATGTCTGCGATAAGAAAGAAAGAAAAGGAAAGAAAGAATGAAAGAAAGAAGAATACGAACGAAGAGGAAGAAAAGGGAGAAATAGAGAGCCGGGATCAGTCCATTTCGCGTATGAACTAAGCCCACTCTCACTTCTCTGAAATGTACAGTGGCAAGATGATTGAAATTTGCTTCATTCAAAGCGGGGAGATTTCACATTTTACACAAAATGACATCACCGCCGCCCCCATGCACCCGGACAATGAACTCAGCTTGCATTGGGTCAACTGTGCACCCCATCTCACCCCTTTGTCACAGAAAAGTTGGTGCCGTGTGAAAATGAGTCCGCATTATCTCGAGCACACACACTCACAGTAAATGCAGATTGTACATGTTCATTCAACCCCTTGAGCTGTACTCCATGTAGGCCTACTGTACAATCACCGAGTTATAGAAGAAAGAGAGGGCAAAACTGTTCGTCATTTGAATTGCTGATTGGAAACGGGTTTTGCCATCAAGCGTACAAAGTCAATAGACCTTCCGATTTCTTAGATCACTGCGTCCTCGCATGCAATACTCACGTATGGCCATTTTACGTACAGTAAACGGCGTGCTCTGCACAATTACAACAGGACTGTGTGTCTACATACAAAGATTATGAGATTTATCAAAGGAGTGGGCTCACCGCAGTGCGTACGGCAGACAATGGCAAGGCATCGATCGCAAGCAGATGGCGGGAAAATGGTACACAATTTACAAGGGAGGTTTTCAAATGGCCCTAGCAACCTTTTAGCCTTTGTTCGCTTGTTTTGGTGGACATCAACGGCTTTGACTTTGAAAGTCGGTTCTTAAAGTGAACTTCGATGAAGGGAAAAATGTACATAGTAATTCAGGAAATAATATACAAGATATTTACCAATTACATGTTTAATATCGTTAACCAGGCAGATGTAAAGCCTGTCTCAACCATGGATATAAAGTTATTATTTCGAAATAGTACAGTTTATATTCACGACTAAATTAGTTTTTACTATAGTCACAACATGTAATTGTAAAAATCTCCAGTATACTACTTAGTAATACTATTGCTAGGCAAGGCAATGGAGGGCTTGGAGGCTATACCAAGCAGTTAAATACTTTTCAGTGAGATGGAGAAAAGTGCATTACAAGTCATGCAACACCCAACAAAGTTACATGTACTAATTACCAAGTATGAATAAAAAGTTACACCTAATATATACGTAAACCCATTATACGTGCTTATAAAGTTCTGGGGTTTTTTTTAGTACACAATTGTGAATCTAGGTGGTGGGGGTGGGGCCGAGGGGGAGTGGCAAAAGAACACAAAATTTCTGCTAAAATATATACGTTCAGGAGTTGTGCTGCCCCCAGCCAAATTCGATTACGTTCGGGGCGGCAGTTTGCCATTTTGTCCGCCAGGTATTTTTTACGCTTAAAAAAAGTCTTGATATGTCATGACTACAAAATTAATAAATAATATAACATGTTCCATGCCCTGGTTCGTTCTGTTGAGCCATCTGTGTATACATTATGTATAACCCTCCCTCTACTACTATAGGTATCGAAAAAGAAATCAATACATGAACAACTTGAAGTTTCCTTGAAGTACTTTGAGGCTATCACGTTTTCTTGAAGCAATTTCACACATAGAATCTATTTCATATTTCTCATATCTTTACTCTCAAAGTTTTGAATTTTGGATGACACGGGCCAAATTGCCCAACAACGTGTGTGGATGGGTCGGAACTGATTAGAAAAATAATATTCTGGGCACCACTCTTTGTGTAGTCCGCAGACACAAAGTCCATTTTGACACTTTATTGCCAAAGTACAGACCCTGTCAACGCAGTATGCTGTTCGCCTAGTCTCACAGTACAGACACTGTTACAGCGACTGACAAGGGTCTGTTTTGCAAACTATTTTTTGTGAAACATCATACACTGTCATTATACTTCAGAAAAACCTCAAATCTAATTAAATCAAGTGACTGTTATAAAGCTTCTGCGACATCTTCAAGTCGATATCAATTCACTAATAGCACTGTACACCTAGTACACAGAGTTATCTCTCATAGCAGGGCTCAATATTAATTCAATTCAGGACATGAAGGGGGGGGGGGGGGGTCGATTTTTGCCAAATGAATACAATGTAGAAATTAAGATGTAGCCATGCAAGCATAATTTTAGATAGACTTTTTTTGCCTATTGACACTGGTTAGTGTAGAACCCTGCATATTGGAAAATTGGTCTCACTCTCTCTCTCTCTCTCTCTCTGTCATCTCCCTCCAGCCTTACCTCTTGCTCAATCCCTCATTTCTCATGTTATTGCCCTGTCTTATATGAATATGCTTCTCAGTTTTTTGTCATATTGGGCGAGTGAAATTGATGTTTAGGCAACTGTTGAGACAAACTTGCTCCGTGGAAACTTTTTAGCATCCTCACCCTGAAGGCCTATATTATTAACTCATTCACTCTCTCCAAACCATTAAACAATTTTCTCAGTACTGCATTAAAGAAAATGATTTGCAGATATACATATGATTGTTCTCTGAATTAAAAACATTGTTTATTTACGATGCAGAAAAATATAACATACACTGACTGACAGATCAACACTGAAGGTTTATCATGCCTCATGAAGAAAAAAAAATACATGAAAAGGGTAAAACAAAGGATGCTTTACAAACATTTGTGAATTACTATTGATGGAACACTAAATGAAAATCGTAAAGACTGATCTTCATACCAGATACAATATTACTCTTTAACTGTCTTCGATACTAGCTAGAGTATGGGGTTGAACTGTTTTAAAATTCTTTGATGTAAAACACCCTTTCAGAACATTTTTTTTTCTTAAACATTAACTCTCAAACTGGAATGAACACATACATGTACTTTTAAAAAACCTATGTTTTGATGATTAAGTTGAAAACAGACAATTTCTGGCATATAACAATTCAAATTGAAGAACACCTTAAAAATCACATCAATTTCCAGCAAAATATACACCTCTGCAGAACAGTTCATCCAAGCTTCATTAGTTCAAACATATATATGTAAGCAAGTGACTTAGGCACATATTTCCGTTTATGGATCATATAATGTTACTTGTACACACATAAAACAAACAGTACATATAGCTTGTGGTGTTACTCCTATAATATGCTGATACAACAACAAAAAAATAATAACACATCAGGCCATTGAGCATGGCTGTATTACAATGTATGACTGATACTCGGTCAAAAATGTGGAAGACCTTATTTAGGGTTGTAGCTAAATTCAGAACAAGCTACGAGCCAACAGTTTAATGATCGGGCAGATGAATTTTGCCAAAACATTCAGAAGCTAAAATTAAAGGCAATTTCATTTTGATGCATGTTTTAACTAGTGGTACTCGACAAATCACTTTCCAGTCAACAAATATGTAATAGTGTCTATTACCCGTAGTTGCATTCTGACAGCATTTCCTATACAAAAATTGGACACCACTAAATTTTTATATTACATAGCTTGAATTTCCTTTAAATGAAGACAATGAAATGATATCAGCACTGTTAAAAAAATAATAAAAAGATGCAATTTTATACAATCTCTATTTTTAACTACAGTGGTAAATGTTATTTCACAAGAGTAAAGTACGTCATACAATAGCATTAATACAAAAACTTGACTAAAAACCTCGGCTTAATTTATCAGTAAGAACGTTATGCAGGTTTCCTGTCACTTTGCGCGAATAATAGTTCACACAAGTCTACTATTTACAGAACTTTGTACACATTTCTTTCTATTGTTACTTACAAAACACAAGGACTTGTTGGTTGTGCCAAGCGTTGCTCAGAGACATAGACATAATTAACAAGCAAAGTGATTGAAGTATTTTTGTATCCTAAATCAACTCTGCACCCTATCAACTTTATGATTGTTAAATTAATGAACCCGATTTTTAGCTGTCGATTTATGCAAGATTGTTCTGTTGATCTAAAATGTATCGTACACTTCAGAAAATGGAATTAGGCTACATCATAACATGGTCATGGGATTACATTTCTGAATTTCACAAGCATATTTTGACAGAATAATGATGGACGAATGGTAACGAACATTGCTTGCACATGTCTATTCATAATTTCATGAAATGTTGAATGAAGAATTATATCCTTTTAAGTTAAATTCATTAAAAAGGAGACCCAAACCGTCAACTTCGTAATTTCAATTAGGATGGCCTGAGCAACATCTTCATTCATCGATTCATTAACATGGCTCTTGATCTAGAAATTTAGAATACAGAAAACATTTATCATGTCAGAAATGCAATATCTCTATCAAAGGTCCATCATTTTCACACTTCTTGTTGATATTACTGATCGATACAAATTGACTGCTACTAAAAACATGGTGCAAAATGTTGACCAGTTAGCTTCATCAACAATTGGTAACAATATCATCAGGTTGGATGGTCTTCATAAGGTTGAGGGTGCACTTTATAAGATGGCAGTCCGATTGAGACTAGGCCTAGAAATAGTTTAGTGCACTCTTTACTCTTCGTCACTGTCGGAATCAGAGCTTGAGTCATCTGAGGTGGAGTCGTCTGAAGAACTTGAGCTACTTGATTCCTTCCTCTGCTGCTTTTTCACTTGCTTTGGCTTCGATTCCTTGAAGGCTGCCATCTCTCTCATATAACGCTGCTTTTCTAGTGCAGCTTCGGCGTCATACTTGGCCTTGTCTGCTGGGGTTATTGTCTTCCAGATGGCTGCAAGCGCTTGTGCAATCTTTCCAACCGACCAATCTTTGTGTTCCTGCTTGATGGCACCTCTCTCGTCTCGACTGAAAAGGAAGAACGCCGACAGATTCCTCTTTGGTGCATCTGGATCTTTCTTGGCTCGGCGTCGACCACCCTTTGCATTCTTCTCTTTCATCGGAGGGACGTAGCCCGACATCTCCCGGTCATATCGGATCTTATCAGAAGCTGATTTATCGTTGAAGGGCCGCTTGTCTCCATCATCCATATGCTTCCATCTATCAGCACATTCCTTAGAGAAAGCGGTGAAATTCACTTGCCCTTCAGCTTTACTGCGCCGATCCTGTACAAAGTACGCGTAGGCAGACATGCGGCCACGGGGCTTATTTGGGTCCTTCTTTTGCTTGACCATGATGATATCTTCAAAAGTTCCACGTATTAGTACTCACAATAAATGCAGCTAAATGTTCAGATAAATAACGTGATGTTACCTTGGTTTATAATGCTCTAAATGAAGAAATATTGCCAAGTTTGCGGGGGTGTAGTAAGTAGATGAACGGCAGCTACAACACGTGAGGTACTGGCCAAGCGTACAACACAATGCTTATGGCGCGAAATGCCTATGTAGAGACAGCGTGCTGACGCCGAAACCGTACATGTATATGCTAATGAACCGAATTTATCGACTAAAACGTGGTACGCTCTGTATGGTGACGCGTAGAGGGTACAAACAAACCAAAAAAGTAAACAACTGAGTGTTTTCCACTCTTCAGGAAATTAGGGCTTTTTCGATGAAATGTTCGGGAAATTAAATAATTCCGGGAAGTTTCATAAATTTGTAGGAAAATCAAAAGAAATACCGAAAAGTGGGAGTTTTTTCTCTTTTATCATATAATATTTGGCTTTACTATTCTTTTAGATATGTATTGTTTTACCAATTTTCTCGGTTAGGTGTATCGTTCATTTAGCTAGCAAAAAATGGAAGCTTAAAGGGGAAGTCCACCCTGAAATTAAGTTAGTTTTAATAGGAGTAGAAAAATGAGAGAAACAAGTCAGTGAAAGTTTGAGCAAATTCCGATTAAAAATAAGGAAGTTAGGATTTTTGAAGTTGTGATCAATCAAACACAAATTGGCAACTCTATGACGTATCATGCGAGCTCAACTTCCATTTGCTCAGTACTAAAAAAATCTAAAATTTTCATTTTCCCTCAAGAAAAATTTCAGCCATACATGCACCCTAAATATAATAATTGCAAATATGTTTCTATACTCCCCCTGCAAGGAACAAATATATATTCCGTCATCAATAACGAAGAAAACATGATTTTATGGAATATTATGCACAAAGCAAATGAAGGAGAGCTCGTATAATAAGTCACAGAGTTGCCAATTTGTATTTGATTGATCACAACTTCAATAATTCATAACTTAAAGTCTATATTTTATTGCAAAATAAGATATGACGTTAGCCTCCCAGCAATTCATGCCTGAAGAACAACAAACATGGCACATAAGAGGCATCAAATTCAAAGAAATTTCATGTTCTATTTGAGGAAATTTTAATGAGTGGAAACACTGATTGCAACCAGCCAAAATGACACTTAAAAACGTATTTAAAGATTAATGTTACACATATTAATAACCCCTGCCATAATCAAAATTGCTTAAAAAATCATATACGTGTTCATGAGGCTAAAAAATCATGCTGAAAGATGATTGGCTTCATTCTATATATTATATAAATCCAAAGATTCTCAAAAAATACAAAGAAGTTAAAATTCAATAGTGTCACTCTCAGGGGGGGTCGAGGGGGGTTCGGCGGTTTAAACCCCCCCCCCCCCCCCAGGGCGGCCAAGTGCCAAAAAAGGGGGGGGGGGGGGGGGGAGAGAAGGAAAACAAGAAGAAGAAGAAAGTAAAACGGCGCGCCTTTGTTTTTGGAAAACCTTGGATCAACCCCCCCCCCCCTTGGCAAGCTTTATCCGCCCCTGACTCTTATCTATAGAGGATATATATTTAAACATTCTATATGTTATTACCTTCCGTGACCATGCACACTCAACGACCATCACTTTGTCGAGGTGCCAATTTCAAACAACAACAACAATAACAAGTACGACCAGGCACGTACGCGGGGGGGGGGGGGGGTTCAACCCCCCCCCCACCCTTTGACTTTTTTTTCTGTGTGTGTTTTGGAGTAACCCCCCCCCCTTTCGATTTTGTTTAATACTAAGAAGGAAAAAATGATAATGGATGACCAAAAAACCTAACCTTACCCCCTCCCCCCCCCCCCCCCCACCGAAACGAAATATCGATCGGCCAAATTTTCAAATTTTGGGGCAAAAAAAAAAAGTCCTCTTACTCACTTACAAAGGCGGCAAGAGGCTAGCACCTCCCCCTAAGATTTCCTTTTTCCTTTGTTGGGGGTGGGGGGGGGGCAGGGGCGTAGACAACGGGGAGATGAGGGGGATGCATCCCCCCACCTCACAAGGTGGGGGGATGGAATGTACAATCATCCCCCCCCCCCCCAGGTTTTGGGGAATGATATTTGCTTACTTAATAAGTCATAATGATGATAATAATAGTAATAATAATAATGATAACAATTATAATATTAATAATAATAATAATTATGATGATGATAATAATAATCCTCATCATTATTGTAATTGTGTTTATTGTTATTAGCTGCATTCACACGGTGAAAGCCAATTCAGACGGTAAAAAAAAGAAAATATTACAAGTATTTTGTGGTTATCTTGTGGTTTGGAAACCACAAGATAACCACAAGATTAAACAGGCGCGGATCTACGGGGGGGGGGTTAGGGGGTTTAAACCCCCCCCCCTTGGGCGGCCCAAAAAACACCCCCCCCCCCCAAAAAAAAAAAAAAGTAAAACAAAATTTTAAAAAAAAAAAAGAAAGAAAAAAGAACGCACGCTGGAGAGAAACCCTTTCAAGTGCAAATATTGTGAGAAGATATTCAACTCATCTGGTAACTTAACCAAACACATGATAACTCTGGATATAACTGTGTATTTAACTGTTACTTGATTTAAAAAGACGTTATCATGCACTGCTTTTTATGGTCTCCATTGTGTTGATAGATGCCAGGAAAACATCACTTACGGGGTTCAAATAAACACCCCCCCCCCCAAAAAAAAAAATCGGATCGCCGCTTCGCGGCTCGTGGACGATGCTCCGCATCGTCATTATTGGTCACCCCCCCCCCCTTAGCAAAAAGCTAGATCCGCCCCTGAGTCATCCCCCCCAGGTGTACGAACCTGTCTACACCACTGGGGGGGGGGGGGGGGGATGAGTCGTAGAGGACACATGGACACATTATCGTGCTGTTGTTGTGATAGTGGTGTAATTCTTTTTACTTGATATATTAAAAGCCCTTCCTTTTTCTCAATCTCGTTCTCGTCTTCTCTTCCTTTTTTTTCCATGCATGAGGAGTCCTGCCAACAAATTTTCTACTCAACGTCATTTCTCGTACATGAAAAAAGAAGTTTAGAAATGACTTCAAATTTAATTAGGCCTAGGTGAGAAATCATTTTACGGCATGCAGGTCTCATATCTTATAAGAGGTAAGCCGTAATGCTATTATCGCACAGAAGTTCATGATACTGAAGATGTACTTAACTATATTGTAACTATACTATATTACTAAGCTACTACCACTCATTCTATTGATAATATTAGTAAGGAAGATTTAAAAATTATCGGCTTATATTAATGATGATAATAAAACGATGATGATGATTTTGATAATGATAATAATGAAAGTAATGCCTTTAGTATTGATAGTATAATGATAATAATAATGAATAGGCCTTAAAAAGGAATACTAAGCGATTTGATCATGCATTTATACATTCACAAGTTGAGTTGATTTGATCGACTCTTTCAACCCTCTCGGGGTATGTGAGCACATTAAAAATATAAAAAATAAACATATCAAAAGATGTACAATTATTTCAATAAACGTGAGCTTGAGACCTCGACAAACCCTATAGTACAGTTGGGTCACCCCCGTAAGTATCATAACTTGAACAGGCGACATATATACGTGCAACGTAATCCATTTTCTTTATTTAAGAAATCCAAGGAGCTATATGGAATGTTATGCATCGTGCAATGTGACACCCATGTCATCCTTAAATTACATCAATCAAAATTTCGAAAGAAAAAAAAGTATGTGATTTTATCAATCCAAAATATTTCTGACAGCGACAAGAACGCCGAGTTCAAAATTATCTACATAAACCTGTCTCTAGTTTCAGTTTCTGAACTCTTTCCTTACTCTCACGCCCTCAACGCTCAAACCCTTTACAGATCCGTAATCCTTGAGAAGTGTAAGTCTCATTGAGAAAGCTTGCAAAATCCCATTCAATCTACATAGTTACTATTCTGAAAGTTAATTTATTGATTTAGAATGATTGCTTAATTATTCTTCATTGCTATTGTTTCTTATTTGAATGCGTTAAATGTGCAAATTTGTAGACAAACGGTGATTTGAAAGCCCAAACTTCTAGTAATGCAGATTGATTGTGGTCCCATTTACTGGGAATCGCAGCGGTAACGGGACTCTTATTGCCCAGTGTGAATTGTGATTACTGTCTGATGGCACGGTTACACGAAAGCTAAATCTATTTTAAGGCTCTAATATTTGTTATCAAAGGCCGAAAGGTTACAATGCAGTGGATCTATTAAAGACAAACCCTGGTGATTAATTACTTTATAAATTTGGTCTAGATCTACGTGTTGTCGACCCATTTTTTTTTTTACTAATGGCTAATGCCTGGCAATTGCAATGGATGGCCAAAGCCCATCAACGTGCAGGCTATTCAGCTTCTCGATCCGACTCTTTGTGGCAGGGAAATGGAAAATGAATGAGTGAATGAATGAACATGAATTCATGAATAGTGTAGGCCTAATGTAAACGGGTTCATGTGACTGCAAGTAATGCCTAACTTCTGATTGTGTGCATTGAAAAGGAACAAACGATTAGCAATCATTCGTAACAGTAGGCCTAGGGCTAGCCTAGGCCTAGACCGAAAGCTTCAGTCTCTATAATCGTCGGTTGTTCCACTGAGACTACGTCTGGCTCCACTAGACCTCCGGTTATAGAGACTGAACGACTGCCTATGCCAGCCTGTGTTGAACTTATTCCGCTAGATTTTAGCCGCTAGGCCCCTCCCACAAACTTGCCACGGCCGTATTGTTATGCCCCCAAAATCCCCCAAAATGTCATTTTACCTCGTTCATTTCCAATTTTAAATTAGGCCTAGGCTATAATACATCGGTTCCACTTACTAACTTTATTGATATAATCCGTTTAATGGTCCCTTTTAAGGAAATTATGGGTCAAAATCGACATCCATGTTGAAAATCTTGCAAGCCGTGTTAAACTCTCGCTGCCGTCAATCTCATCCCTTCTAGTCTACGCCGAAGGCAAAATGATTATGAAGGAAAAACTGCGCCATCTACACGTTCGTAATGGCGTTATCACAGTTTTTCCTTCATAATCATTTTGCCTTCGGCGTAGACTAGAAGGGATGAGATTGACGGCAGCGAGAGTTAAACAAGGCTTGCAAGATTTTCAACATGGATGTCGATTTTGACCCATAATTTCCTTAAAAGGGACCATTAAACGGATTATATCAATAAAGTTAGTAAGT